GCAGTTTGGTGGGTTGCAGGGCCAGGTACAACTTGCGCAGCTGATACAGCATGGTGTGCTCGTCGTGCGGTCCTTGTAGTGCATGCTGAACTCCTTGCACCAAATTACCGTGCACTAAATTCTTGTTCGTTTCTGAGTTCAGCATCTTTCCCACAAAGGCCGGCAATGAATTCATCACGCGCTCCACCATGCTGTTTGCCTGCGTCTTGTTGTCTTGCTCGATCGCTGACTGCATGGCTGTCAAAGATGACTTGAAGGCCTGAGCGGTCATGATATCGGGCAACTGTCGCTGGGTTGCCAATCCAGCGTTTTGTGTTCTCGTTTCTTGAGCTTCTTGGGTCATCATGGCTCCAAAGTCATCGATTGCTGTCAAAATCGCATGCATCTTTTTGTCCACGTACTTGCAGAGTCTGTTTAGTACGAGGAAGCCGACAGTGAAGGCTCCAATCACTATGGACAGAAGGACCTTGCTCAAGGGGTCTAACTCCGTCAAAATGACATAGACCTTGCTCAGGGGGTCCAACTCCGTCAGAGTGACATAGATGAAATGTAGGTCTTCGATACGGGCCATGGGGGCTACGGGCACGGAGGGCGGCAGGTCCTGTCTTGAGTTCGAGCCGCCTAGTTCGCGGCATGGTCATCCTGTGTATGAGCTCCTGGGGCGTACGGTGAGGGAACAAAGGTCAGGTGGGTTTATCCTAGAACCGTGAAGCCTCGGAGTGGTTCAGTGTTGGAGACTGCCCTGTTGACTACAAGCGTTTGATCACCTCGGGAAGCGTCTCACTGAAAGGCAGGAGCCCCTCCAAGTAATTCCCCATGAAGGCAAACTCTGTAAAGCCGGCGAAAGACCACTGCAAATGCACTCTAGTTTAATGGGTTAGGGGAATCGGAAAGCGCAATCGTTAAGTTATCATCTCAACCTAGTCCGAGAACACTTCAACGTGGGCCTTCCATAGAGTGGAACTTACGGGATACAGAAGGGGCTTAAAAGTAGGGAAGTATAGAGGGACTGCGACTCTGGAAGACAGCAGTTGAGCAGGTTAACCCAAATGGACTATACTAGAGGTTAAAAATTTAGACTACATTGCATTCACTGTTCATGGTTTTGCACAGGAAGAGGGCGGCGGCGTGAGCAGGAAGACCCCAATTACATATGTGCACTTGCCTGTAATTACAAATTACGAATTATCAATTATCTTGCAGCTGTATAAGTTGCATAGGACACGAGGTCCAGGGCTTGCATTAATTGGCGGTGACTCTGATGTGGCTGCCATCATCCAGGGTAAGCCAATGTTCCTGTACCTCAGTTTCAGGATTCGTCGGGATGTTCGGCTGGGAGTCCGTGTGATCTCCTTGTGGATTTTGCCTGGCCGAGTCATCTGTTGGCGCGGTTCCCGTTCTCAGGTCACTCAGCATTTGCAGGGTTTGCTGCATGTGTTGAGTGTGGAGCGGCATTGCATTCTGCACTCGGTCGAGGGCAGGCAGTATCCTTGTATCCATCAAGTCGAGAAGTTGGTGGTTCTGCGTGAAGATGGAAGTGACCGATCGCTTCATGTCCTGGAAGCATGCATTCAGAAAGGCCTTGTTCTTCTGATTCGCGTCGTTGCCATCCATGACTTGGACTCTCAGTCGTTCTAGGGCTGCCATCATCTGTCCCGCGTGGGTGGCGAAAAAGTGCTCTTCTCGCGTCAGGACGTCGTCCAAGACGTCGAAAATGTTGTTGACTGTGTCGTGCAAGGCTTCCGTGACAGGTTCTAATTCTCTCACTGCTTTTATGAGTCTGTCCAGAATGCGGTCCGTTTGTAGCATACGCATTTCTATGCTATGCTGTACTCGGAGAATGCACGCCTGAGTCTCTCTGGCCTGGCTCCACAGTCGTGTGCCTGTTTTTGTCACCTCTTCCACGAGCCTCTCGGGGAATATGTGAGGCTGCTCAACTAAAACTGGCATCTGGAGTTGCTTCCACGTCCTCTCAATCGTCTCAACGCGTGCATCGATAGTGCGAAGCATTTTGCACTGGAGGGACATGACCAATAGTAGTCCTCCAGTTAACAAGGCTCCAGTCAGGTCTAGGTTCTCACCTGCAGCGGGAACTTGGTGTTTAGGGTTTAGGGTTTAGGGTATAGGGTTCAGGGTTTAGGGTGTAGGGTTTAGGGTCTAGGGTTTAGGGTTTAGGGTTTAGGGCTTCGGGGTTTGGGTCTAGGGGTTTAGGGGTTTAAGGCTTCAGGTTTAGGGTCTAAGCCGAGCGTCAACAGCAGGGCGGCCTGTCGTGAGGCCTCGTCTCCACTGATTTCCCCAAGCAGTTTCACAGCTCGGCCACTCTGACATGTGGCATTTTCCATGGCCGTCCTGCCCCCCCCCCCCTCGGCTCAGTCAGCTATGGGTTCACCGGGGCCAAGCAGCTTTGGGACGGGTGTGAGTCATGGGATGGGAAGGGGCAAGCACGTTATTCTATCAAAGCAGGATCCGTTCGTGTCCTAAGCACAGACTCATGAACTCATGCCTCGAATCAAGATTGGGTAGAAACTCTGCTCCCTTGAGTGCACCGAATTGAAATTGGGACTGAAAGGACTCTCATTTCCAAAGTTGAGGACAAACCCCCAGAAGTGGAAATAGTCCAACACAAGTCCGGTTCAAGAAACCTGAAGCAACCAGATCAAATCCTGAAGCTCCAGCATGTGCCTCTAGCATTGTTGAGTTCTCCCTTTACTAGAATCCTCCCAAGTCCGCTCGCGAAAATCCAACCCTTAGAGGGCCCTGTCACCGACAACAAAACACACACCTCAACTCAGAGGGAAAGGTCTGGGCGCACCATTGACACTTCTTCCTTGGAGTCGAAGTCGAGGTCGTCGTTGTAGTCGTTACGGCGAGGGGAGCTTTTCATATAGGGTGGTTTGATTATGTCGAGGACACGGGTGACTAATTATTCGACAGACGGCATGCAAGGTGGTAGGAATACTGCGTTCAATAAGTCGGGAAAGTACTTCAGCCTACCACCATGGTTTTAAGGACAACGGGGGCGTCGTCAAAGGGACGAATCGACTGAGTGAGTAGTCCCATGACCTGTAGAGCACCTTGGTGTGTTGCATGCTGGTTGCTTTCTTAGCGCAGGCGTCTGCAAGTTCGTTCAAGGCTTCCCCCTTGTGTGCTTTGATATGACACGTCCTCACGGTATCTTGCAGAGGTTCCCACTCTTGTCTTAGGGCGCATACTTCCGCCAAATTGCATGTGGGGATTACAGCGTCCGAAAGTACCTGTAAGACGTACAGAGAGTCCGTATGGTACTCGATTGTTGTTCCTGAGAAGTCTTGACGGAGTTGTTTACAAATCCTCAGTGCATACGTGGCTGCAACTAACTGAGCCCTGATGTTGGTGCATCTCCCTGAGATGGGGATGCTCACAATCACAAGCACAAGGTCCTGCGGGATTTGTCCGTAGGGCGGCAGAATAACCACCCCCGCGCCTCCGTGGTAGTCTTTTGAGCTTCCATCCGACGACACTCTAAGTGCCGTCTGATTGAACTCTGCTTCTGGCGAGGGCACGTATCTGTAGGCAACATCATACGGCCCTTCTACGGGGGGGTGTCGCATGGGCAGTAACCAAAAACGCTCACCTACTTGCAAAAGTGATCTACCGCATAGCTCCACGAATTCCAAGATTGGGTAGTATCCCGTGTCATGTTGAAACTGTTTGCTTGTCCATGATGCTATAAAGGTTTTCCAGAGTTCGCGGTCCTGGGCTTGTGGCAGCCAATTGCCGAGGTTGCCTAAAGCCTCCCATTGAAGCTGCACCCATCTGACAGTGTCTGGCCAAAACCCACGTACTCTTCTCGCTGAGGGGTTTTTTCTATCCAGTCTTTGTCTCTGAACCTTATAACTCGTGTGATGGGCCTCCAGTCAAAGGGGCTATAGCGGGCTGCATGCCCCCAATAGCGAGGGAAGCATGTTGCTTGTCCTATTGCCCACCTGACATGGCCGCAAGCTTGGGCAGCCATACGAGCCGCCCTCCTTCTACATACCCAGTTCTGTAGTTTTGGTTGCAGGGCATCGTATGCTGGTCTTAGCATGGACGCGAGCAGGGTGGTGTGTTGCACGTCGAGCAGGTTGCGGACTTCTGTGGTAGGTCGGATTGCTGCACTTAACCACTTCCACTTGTTGGTAACGTAAGCGTCGAAGAGGTTCAGGCGCTTCTTCAGTGGGGCATTACCTCTACAAAGAAACCCACTGTGTCCCCAGCAAGCACCGCTTGCTGCAGCCAGGCGTCTCGCAAGCACAGTCCCACAACTGAGCCCGAACCCCATCAAAATGCCTAAGTAGACGAAGGACTCGGTGTGTTTGCTCGCTTGCTCCTGAGACATACCAGGTAGTAGCAGGGGAGCAGTGTCCAGGCCTGGTGTGCATAGGAATTGGCACTTCTCCAATGCCAGTTGCAACCCTATGGCGGAGAGGGCCTCTCGTATGTCTTTAAGCATCGAAAGCGCACACTCCCTGGAGGGCGCAAGCAAAACTACGTCATCTGCGAAGAGGATTGCGTGCAGCGCTGTGCCGAGCCGGTCTTTAATCCATGTCGGGTATTTCTCCCGCCACTTGTGGAACAACGGGCTCAAAAAGTGATCTAGCACCCTTGCAAAGAGTTCTGCCGAATAAGACGAGCCCTGCTTAAGACCTCTCCAAAGTGGTTGATCCCAGTGGTCTTTACCCAGCGACATGCATGCAATAGAATTACAAATTATGAGCAACAGTAGCCTCGCCTCGGCCGAGGATCCCAAGCTTGACAGAAACCTGGCCTAATGACATGTTGCAGTGTGAGCGAACCATCTAAACTCTGTGCTCCAGGGACTCCCGACAGTTGGCATGTGTGCATCGGTGCAAATAGGCGTCGTAAGCGAAGTACTAGAATTTTTGTGAACAACTTGCCTGGCGTGGATGACAGTACTATCGGCCGAAGGTCCTTTGGCTTGGAGGGCTTTTTGGTTTTGGGTAGTAGGACCACCTGCGACCTTAGCCATCGTTCCGGGATCGGCTTCGTTCCTGCAATATTGAATTATAAAAGGAAACGAATTTCGCTTGCAGAGGTGATTGCATCAACGAGTAGATGAGTTCGTATGGAACCCCATCGGCTCCTGCACTCTTTCCTGCTTTGGTCGTGTCGAGCACTAGTTGTATCTCCTCAGGGGTGATGGGGTCGGCATTAGGAGTCTCACCAACTGCCTGGTCATACATTTGCATGGTCAGGTCAGGGGAAGTGGGGTTTGGTGGAGTGTACTTGACTTTGTAGAAATGTTTCAGGTCACGGGTGGCTGCTTCTTGGCCTCCTGCTCTCATTATGAAAGAACCCTGAGAGTGCCTAGCTGACTGGCGGCGCTTAAAGAAGCTGATAGCAAAGTAGTCACCTGCCGCACCCCTGTCCAGGAGCGAGGTCATCCACTCCTTCTTGGCCAAGGCGCGGGTGACCGCTATCTTATGCGCGGTCTTTCTGGCATCGGCTCCGGACTGTTTTCTCCGCAGGGAGATGAGTGCCTTAATGTCCTTCCCATCTTTGTACCTTAGCGACTTGGGCCGGTGGCACGCTTGTGTCGCCAGGTCCTGCAGAGTATTTGCGGAGAGATCAAGGCCCGCTGTGTCTAGTTGCTCCGCCAGGGCCTCGCACAACATAGGTGTTTGGGTGAGGTTGACTCTCCACTTGCCACACCTATGGCTGCCCCTATGTTCAGAGGCTCTGTTCGTTCTGCTCTTGAAGGTCTGCTGCAGGGCAACGGTGCAGCATTTGTGGTCCGTCCCTAGCAACGTGTCCGATCCTTCAAGTACCTCTGACCAGATTAGGTTTCTGTCACCCTCTGAAAACAAAACGTAGTCTATACGAGAGGTGGCTCCTCTAGTATTCGTCCATGTTGGCTTGTGCGGGAAGGTTCTGCTCAGCCCGTATTCTTGCATCAGCCCCTCTAGCAATAGTCTACGTTCATCGTTCTCCTGAGCTTGTAGCGACATTAGATCTACGTTCAGGTCCGCCAGGAACGTGAGGCGGTCCATAAACCTGATGTGCTGCAGAAGGGTCCTGAGTTCATCCATTTGGTCGTGCCAAACCTTAGAGCAATCTTCTCTTTGTCTATGCGGCAAATGCAAACTAATTATGAATTCTCTTCGTCCTGCATCCTGTATAACGACCGCTAGGCCGGTTTTCAAGTGGTGCAACTTTAATTACTTTAGGCAGGAGTTTTGCGTGTATCCCGACTACCGTGCCATGAAAGCTCTGGGGCGGAAACGCGGAAAAGACTGTATAAAGTGTGGCTCCAGCTTGAAACTCGTCATGGTTCCAACCCTTAAAAGCCAATTCCTTGAGGCCTCCAACTTCCTGAAAGGCAAAGTAGTCAACACCCTCACCACCCAGGAGGTCCCAGCATCTAGAAACATCGTCGAGGGTTTTTCCCCTCAAGTTCCACGTGCGAGCATAGTGGACCTCCAGGTGGTAGGGGCTGACCCCCTATGGGCGGGTAGTCACCCGCTGGTCCCATAGCTCCTGCAGTTGGCTTCCCGGCAAACCTGTCGCTCTCTGGAAAGGCTCGGCTCGAATAAACCACCCAGAGTGATTCCCACGGGCGTCCATCAAGGCAAGGTCTTGTTCCTGGTAGGGTTCGGCCGAATCGGGTCCGCCTAGGACATTTACGTTACCTACGAACATCTTCCCTCGCCAGTCGATCTCCCCATGCTGTTTGCGGAGCCCTCCTCCAAATGTGAGTTGATCAATAAACTCCTTCACGCTGACTATGGCCCGGATTTTCGCCCGGTCTTCAGGAGTTCTATGTCGGCTGATCCATATGACTCTGTTCTCATTGCCTTGTACTGAGCTCGTCCATTTCCGGGCCTTGAGCTTTTCTAGGACTTGGGTCTGGAAGGCTCTCTGTTGGGGTACGGTTTTGTAGTGGGATGGGAAGGCCAGCACGACTCGCACATGTGATGTGCGATTATACGATGAGTAAATGTCCTCCCACGCATCTTTGAGTCCTGCCGCTTCGAACATGGCCTTGGCTTCTTCCACAGCATCATCTCTCCTGCAGTCCTGCCACCCGCCAATGGCGAGCTGCAGCTCCTCTTCAATGTTACGTTCTCTCCCCGGGGTAGGACTTCTGTCTCTGGGCGAACGGGGGGCATGTGATGGTGTTGGGGACCTCGAGGCTGCACGCAGTTCTTTCACTTCTTTCTCGAGTGTCGATATGCGGAGAAGGCTACCCTCGTGCAGCTCAGCATGCTCTCTTAATTGTGCGTCGTGGTCATCCAAGCGAATTTCCTGGGCTTTCATTTCCGTAGTAAAATGAACAAGTTCACGGTGTATCTCGTTGTGGCGCATGTTCATGTCTGAGACGTCCGCTTTGAGTGGTTCCAGGTGCGCCAGCAGCCTACCCTCCAGTGCACCCACCCATGGCGGTGTGTCCGCTTCGTACGGTGCCGGGCGGTCTCTGCGGGGCCTAGGTAGCGGAGGTGACATTGTGGCCTGTGCCCCCGCCAATTCGTCGTTCATCTCTGCTGCATTCCGTTTGGGGGGGTCAAGATCAAAATACTCAGCTCCATGTCCTCGGCGATCTCTGGATTTGTTCTCCGATCCGAAACCCGGTGGGTCAAGTCTGGGGAGTTTGGGAGGGGGTGGTTTTCTGGAGCTCTCACTTCCCGAGCTTTCCCTCTCTGTCTTCCTCACGAGCAATCTCTCCAGGGCGCTGGCGTGGTGTCCCGCGGGGACAGGAAGCGGGTCCTGGTCTCTTACCGAAAGTCCTGGAGTGCCGTCCATGGAGATAGGCGGGCCTGGGATATGTTCTTCCTGGGAGTCGGGCTTCCGGGGGGGGATCGCGTGAGTGCTTAGTTTTTCCTTGACTTCCGGGGGAGTTACATGCGGCTTCAGCTCATCGAGTACATCAGATACTCCGGCACAAGTGGTTGCGGGTTCGCCTACCAGTAAGGTGGGCTTACCGTCTTCTTCGTCCACCTCAATGCTGTCTTCGTCCTTAGTCGTCTCTCGTCGGTCTCCCAGGGGTCCAAAAGCTACTGTAGTGGCTTGGCTCGGGGATACTTCAGCTCGTCGGGCCTCTGGATTAACAAGGGACCTGGCAATTCGACATTCGAGTTCGCTCGCCGCCCCGTGTCCCGAGATCATCCCTAAGAGGTGTAGGGGTAGGCAAATGAGCAGCTGCGATACGCAAAGGAGAAGACAGAGGAGGCGAAGACGGACCAAGAAGACAAGGACAGGAAGCACACCACGCTCCTGAGACTTGAGCAAATTGGCTGTAGCCATTTGGTTTAGGGTTTAGGGTTTAGGGTTTATAGAGTTTAGGGTCATGGGGGATATGTGGTTTGCGCTTTCGCAACTCGGACTCTGCGAAACGAGGTCTCTCTTTTCGTGCTCTCACTACAGGTCGGGACCAGGATTCTTCCCTCTGCACGGCTGGCATGGATCTATCTCTATTGGGTGATCTGTGTTATGATTGTACTACTGCCTTGTCTTTTGCCGTCTATATCACCTGATACCTTTTTGAACAATCTTTACACTCTTGCAACGGATGTCATAATGAGTTAAAACGAGCTGGGCCGGGCGGGAGATTGTTCTTGGCTGTTGGGTTGTACAGTTTGGGGGTTTCTGCACCAGCCCCCGAAGACCAGCTCCCGAACCTTGAACTCAAACCACAAACACCTAATCCGTAAGCTGCAGAACACAGATTTTGAACCCCCGAAGCCTAGGACTCAAACGCCCTTAGAACCATGATGAAACTATTAGTTTTCATTTAATACCCCTTTGGAGTTGTGTTACGATAAAAGCAAGGAATAGCTCCCAAGTGCACTAAAGTAAGACTTTATGGGATCAACAAGCCTTGACGCCCGTCGCTTTATATTTTCGGGATGTTTCAGGCTTCTAAGCAGTGCGAAATGTCAGAACCGGGCTTTGCAGTGCAGGCTGCAAGAATATGGGGATGCGAATTGTTCAGGGTTAGGTTCAAGTTGTTCAGCTTCATAGCATAAAGTTCTACAAAAGCAACTGCCGTAAGCTCTCTGTGCACCTCCAGTGATGGTGAAGGTTTTGCCGCTGCCCGTCTGACCTCCAGTGGTTTGCTTGTCAGGAACCTTCGGGAGACAATCAAGCTTCATCGGCCGGTGAAGCTCTACAATGTCTGGCTTAAAGTTTAAAGTTGCCATGCCTGCTTTCAAGTTTAAAGCAAGCAGCACGAAGGACTTTGCAATTGAAAGTAGTGTCAGGTACCACGCGGACGATTCTGCGGCCCTGACGGCTACCTAGATTTCATAAGATGCTTTCGGGGTGGAATAGACATTGTCATGCTTGTCTCGGTTTCCGCATTAAAACGAAGCCTGACACATCAAGCAGAGAATGAATTGAAAGCTTGTGTGCCAGGCTCCCTGTGCCGTTGAGTAGCCCCAGGACATGCATCATCATACCAGTAATAATAGTAATAACAACAATAATAACAACAATAATCATAACAATAATAATAATAGTAGTAATAGTACCCTTTGGTTGAACCCAGACTCTGCCAATCAGCTGGTACTAGTACCCTAAACCCTATAAACCCTAAACCGAAGACATGATCATAAATATCATAATACAGAAACGAAAAGAGGGAAGCTCTGAGGCTTCAGCCATAGGCGAAGATGGTACCGTTGATGCCTTGCAGAACCTCAGCGAAGGATTTGAAGACCGCTTATCCGTATGATTCTACCTTTTCAATATCCTTGCAGTTTCTGTCGATGCGGACGATCCCCTCTGCTGCATGGGCCTGAAGAATGAGCAGGACTTTTTCGGTGGGACCGGGGGCTTGGTTCCCATTTACTGCATGTAGCTCATGCAAGAGTAAGCCGTGGGTTCCTGTCTTATCGGCCTTGGTCTGCAACTGCTTAGATCTGACCATTCCGCTGTCTCGCACTCCTGATTCTTCTCTTAGACATGTGTCGGAAACAGCATGAGCAGTTCTTCAGGGGTTAACCATACCCTAAATCCTAAACCCTAAACCCTAAACCCTAAACCCTTTTTGCATCCAGGCCTATTGCAACAACCCTAAACCCTAAACCCTAATACCCAGGGTACACAAGTCGATGCTGAGGCGCATCTTCAATGACCGGCTTTGCCACCAGGCTGAAGACCTCTTCCTGCCAAAGGCTGCGATTTCGGCTTAGGGTTTAGGGTTTAGGGTTTAGGGCGTTTTGGGTTTTTGCGGTTTAGGCTTTCAGCACTCGCAGCTAGACACAGAGGGGCGAGGATTCGAATAACCACCGCACAGTAGCTACCCAGACCCAAACACGAGGCTCAGGGCTTCGGTTGAACCAAGGATGTAAAATGACAATATTGATAAGATAATACGTAGCAGCATCATCATCATCATCGTCATCACCATCATCACCATCATCATCACCATCACCCTCATCATCATCATCATCATCAACATCTCAGCAGCGGCATCATTGCTGGTACAACCACTGCACCTGCCGCCACTGCCAGCCTTGTCACCTTCCAGAACATCATGGGCATGTTCACTGGCGAACCCGTCATCGCAGTGAACATCGCCCTCGTCAGCCATTTCTTACATATGCCATGAGCAGTGGCGATAGAAGTATGCATCCCACTTTGGAACGTGATGGGCATGCTAGTGACGGTCATCATAGCAACAGGTAGAAGGTAGTGTGCTGGAAAAGAACCTTGAAACACCACGGCATTACATAAAACAAACGACTACAGCAACGATGCCAACCGCGCTTCGGCAATTAAATATGGCAGTAGCGATCACTCGCAAAGCCCAATGACGAACCCCAAACCTAAACCTTAAGCTGACCCTAAATAATGCCTAAACCTCAGCCCCTAAAGGGACCCTAAACTTTAAAACCTTCATTCACAAACACCGTAAACTCCGACGAGATGCCTCGACCCTAAACCCTCACAGCAAGAGGCCCTTAAGGGCAAAACTCCCCGGTAAGCCTTGCCTGAGAAATCTTCATGGGTAGAATGCCATCGAAGCGAAACTTGCGGTGCGTCTTGGAGTTATTGACGGTTCCCTCCTGGTGGCTTCCCAGAGAACCCAATACCCCTTAATTAAGGAATATACCTTAAGTTAAAGGGTCCTTAAGATTATGGTTTAAGGTATATTCCTTAATTAAGGGGTATTGGGTTCTCTGGGTTCTTTGAGCTGAACGCTTTAGGGTTACTAGTTGCCGAGCTTCGGGTTCAGGTAGTAGGATCGGTGGACCCAGTTTGGTTTAGGGTTTAGGGTTTAGGGTTGAGGGTTTAGGGTTTAGGGTTTAGGAGCAGTTCGTTTCGGCACTCGGGACGCCTCAAGGCCAAGCCAAGAGCATGAGACGGGTCCGATCGATCTCCAAACGGAGGTCGGTGCAGTGCTTGGTGAGGCGTTCTGGTTGTAGGTCGTATTATTAGGGGTACCCCTTTAAGGGTACCCCTTCTGAACCCTAAAGTTGGCTCTCTTAAAAGGCACCTTATTGAGAGGGTCTATATCCCCAAGGGTCCCCCTAATCCTAGCTCCCAGGTTGGGGCCCGACGGAACCCCAGGCCTTAACCCACAATTTCCCACTCGGACACTGTTGATCTAGCAAGCAGGGCTAGTAAGATGGGTTCTGGGGCTTGCTACGCGATTGACAAGGGGATACTAAAACCGACGAACGAAGTGGACAACCAAACGAGCCGCCGACTAAACCTAAAAAGTGCGGAGGGGAACGGTGAGACTCATCTGCCACTGCGAGAATTACAGCAACTGTACAAAATCCAAACCCAAAACTCTAAGAATCGATGCCCCCCATGCCCTACTCGAACTACCAAGAAAGCCTGAACCTGACTCTGCTCGAGGAATAGAGGCTAACGGCTAACGCTTTTCGCTTTAGGGCAGAGACGGTTTAGGGTTTAGGGTTTACTCGGATTTTGGGAGTGGTGTGGGGTGGTGGGAGGAAGAGTCGAGTCTAGAGTAATGCCCGTCTTGTGGCTTCCGAAACCCATTTGGACGCCAAGCAAATAGCTGGGCAGGAAGCTCTAGGTAGGCCATAAACGGAATTTCAAGCCAAATGGGTACCTGTACCCGTACCCTAAGCTTAAGGGTCCAAGTACCTAAAAGTCATATACTCTCCCAAATCGTAACCTACATAACTACTATCCGAAACCTGAGTACCTGATTATTGGGTCCTTTGGACCCTTGGAGTAAACGCCTACTTTCTGAAACCAACCAGTGTGCGCACTCGCCTTGGGCTCTCAAGTGACATGGTGTCCGGCTTCCGACGCCACATCCCCAAAACCCGTGTGCATTCCCTAAAACCCTAAACCCCGAAGCCAGTAAACTCCTGAGACCCTAAACCCTAAACCGCGGCTCTGTTTTCTGGGGTTCTGTGAAGCACTTTGCTGAGCGTGCCCTTGCAAGGTTGGCTCTAACTGGACTGTATACCTCAAACCCCAAAAACCCTAAACCCCAAAACCCTAACTCGTCAAACCTGCGCTTGGGGATTCAGGCTTGAGTTCAGGGTTATAGG